AAATTAGTCTGAGTTTCTTTTCTTGCTATCTTAAGATATAAAATTTAAATAGATTCTTTTCTTTGTAAGGATTTTCTCTTTATTGTAAAAGAATTAAATTAAATTTTAATAAAGTCAGAGACATGGTCTTACCATTAATATTCAAAAAAAAAAATAAATATACAAAAATTAAGCAAAAAAAAATAAAACAAACAAACAAAAAATAATAATATCCTTCTCAACAGTATCTATATTCGAACTATAAGATTTCAAACTACTACATAAAGAATAATCTGTATGTTCCTTACCCTTTCTATATATAACCTTTTTCTTCGCCAATTCACCAGACTCTTTCTCATAAAAATCACTTACTTCATTATTTTCAAAATCATGAGTTCCATACTCTATATACTCAGTATTAACTAAACCCTCAGGACTATTACTTCACATATGCTTTGATGAATGAGAACAACATGATTCAAATTTATTAACAGAATCACTCAAACCAACTGAAGCTAAACTTTTATTTCAAATCTATCTTTGAATTATCAGTAATATTCTGATAAATGCTATCTTTTAAATTATTATTAATATTCTGATAAGTAACCAGAAGTTTGGATCAAACACTACTATAAAATACTGAAAAATTTTGAGAATAACTACTTTTAGACTATTTTCCTTAAAAATAAAATCAACATCAACACAATTAACATCTTTAGCATATACATAAAATTCATTAGAAATAATCTCTGTCTGACCAACTACAAAAATTAACAACTCTTGAGAATGAATTTTATACTTTAAATGTGCCAAACGTGAATTCTAGAAAGAAAAACAACTTTCATATTATAATAAATTTTTAACTCACATAATCACTTATAAGAACATTAACAATAACATAATCTTTAACTTCATTAGGCATAACTTGAGAAATCTAATCAAAGAAATCTTTAATAGAAATTTATTTGATTCAACAACTTTATTAAGAATCATTATATAAGTTGATATTAACAACAAATACACAAAAAATACCTTCACCTTTTTATTACTACTATAAAACCCAGACACAATTTTGTCTCTGACAGAATATAAATTATCTTTCTTAAAAATAGCTTGGTTTTCAAGATCTCTGTCACTTGAATTAGCTGACACAAAAAGAACCAACTCAATATTATAATCTTT